GAGACCATTCTGAAATACTTTTCAATCCTCACATAAAAGAGGTTTCTGATTATCTTGACTGGTAATTTTCTAATTGGTATTAATGTATATAATAAGTTTTATGGGTTATTTTAATCATTTTTCAATTGTTAACTTGAAATTATTTTCAGTCAGGCTTCCTTTTACCGATATCCATGGAGATCCGAGCTGGTCATAACTTTAATTCCTCTACTTATATTTTAATACCAAATGTTAAACGTTCAAACATTATGTAATATTTTCCCATAAAACTGGGATGTATTTGAACCTACTTTCGTATATTTGTAATGAAATATTTAGTATTTATTTATAGTAATGTTTATTTGCATTTTACTTATGTCTTTTAATATCATTGTATTTATTGTTTATATATACAACATGTATATATGTATAGTTTTGGATATAACATATACCATCTATATATAGAATTCATTTGAATTTTTAAATGTTACTTCCTTTATAGACATTTTCTTCCATCCAATATTTCACATTTCCATAATAATATGATATTACCAAATTATACAACTACAATATTTTAATGGCCATTTTTCATATTATGCCAAGTACCAATTTATTACGGTAGACTTGGAAATTACATTTATTATGAGCTTTTATGAGTTTCTTTATTTATAATTATGTCACGCGATGCAACTATAACGTTTCTTACGCAATTGACAACGTTTGTTTAGTATTGTTTTTTTTTCTGGTCCAATGTTCACTATTGATCTATTAACAACTTTACGTGTAAGAGTAGTTTTAAATTAATTCCGACTGGCGTTCGCATTTCAGTGCTGACAATTACTGTTAAGCTTTTCTCACTACCTTTGGAGTTGAGTGTAAAATATTATATAAATTATCGATGTTTTAATGTTTGTGGATTATAATCAATGTAGCAGATGAGCTTATAATCTTACGAATCAATACACATATATGAGAAAGTAAATTGGGAGAATAATTATTTTTTATTTTATTCAACATAATTAAGGTACAAAAAAAACAAAAAAAAAAAACAGAGATAAATTTAGCTAAACTTCGAAGTTTCTCCTTCCACGTTTATTCTTATGTGCCTATAATATTCAAAAACATATTATGTAGTTAACTTCAAACATATTAGTCAAACAAATCAATGTATTAATGGAATATTAACAGCTTACCCACGGAGATGTATCTAGGTAGCGGATTTCTGTCTTAACGAAGCCGCATTCTATACATTTCAAACCTATCTCTAGATCTAGATAGAGATCGTGTTTTCCGTTCTTGCAACGTTCCTTTTGATCATCAGTCGATTTTTCTTCATCAAGCTGCAGATATTACATATTGATATGAACATCCAATAATACTGAAATCATCAATAAAACAGAATAATTTAAAGTTTAAATTACCTCAGAAGGAACCTCAATGGCCTTTGCAGTTGATTTGCTCAGAAAGTCATTCATCTCTTCCCGCATACTATTTTTCTCCATCTCTGAATTAGAAATTGGAGGAGGTGATGGTGTTTCTTCCACACCAAATCTCATGTTCAATGGTGGTGGATTAATTTTTAGTAATCTGTTTTCACCATAACGTTTTTCTTGGTGATTCTCCATTTTTGTCTAATCTCTTATCAGGCGTTTAGGGTTGAAGAGTAAATTTTATAACTATTTTTATAATAGAAGCTAACCCATATTTTATATAGGATAGGGTAGTTAAAAAATATTCAATGTCACCAAATTTCTATGTTTTCTTGGGAATACTGTTTCAACCAACCTGTTTGACTTTCTCACTTTCGCTTTTGATAAATGGACATAATATTTACACAAGTCTTCTTCGTCAAATTCACATAACTTGTCTCAGATAAAAATGTTTAAAAATTTGGATTTTTCGCTTTACAGTTTGATTTATACCGTAATATATGGTAACATAATATTGTGCTCCGATAATTTCGAACTAATATTCTTATGAAGAAATTATGTATAAATTGAATTATCTAACCATATATTCTGGATTTTTAAAAATATAATATGAAGGATATTGATATATTGTTGTTACTTTCTATAACGAGATGCATATTGCAATCTTTAACTTATTCGTATATTCGTGTATGCCCTATTTAATCCATCTATATATTCACATCATACTTTTGTGAACTGCAACTTCATTTGTTACACTGAAAACAAATTCTCAATATTCTCCATTTCTACTGCTATGAACAGAATAGGTAAGCTTTCTGCGTCCAACTTTATTTTATTAAGAATTCTTGGTATAGAGCTATAGAGACTTACCCTTTATCACTTCTTGTCATACATTATTTGTTTCCTTTTTCCGGCAGCCGAATCTCCCCCCTCCTATAGGTTCCCCCCGTAAAAAACGTTAGGGGACCCCCATGGCTTACGCGATCCGCTCCCCTTTCCCTCCGAAGGTACCTTCCGGAGGTTTCAGAAAGATGGAGTTCCCTCCCTGGAATTTAACTGTTTTAACAAGTTCTTATGATTGTTTTCAGAAATTATTCAATTTCATCTACCAAGAACAAATTCTCTCAAGCGAAACAAGGTGGACAAACTAATGAAAAATACAAAATTTATTGCCTGGATGGAGTGTAACAAGATATACCCAACTGCCAGATTCCTGCTCTACACTGAATTATTTCATCAATTTGTCTGGAATGACACATTGCATGAGTGGAGGCCATGGGTAAAGGGTTCAGGAAATCCAACTATTCTTCAACAGTATTCAGTTTATGATGGGAAAATTTTTTATTTGGGTTGTCTGTTGAATATCATTAGAGGTCCTCGCAGTTATGAAGATATCCGAACAGTTAATGGTGTTGCATACGACACTTTTAGAGAAGCTTGCTATGCAATGGGTTTATTCTCGGTCAATTAGATTTACATGTCTTTCTTAAGATTAGTTTCAAAATTGCATGCTGAATCTTTATTTCAATAAGTTACTTTCATTTTGTTGTTTTTCATCGTCTTAATTTTTTAAATTACTTTTTATGTTGAATATATGAAATAGTAAGGTAAATCATTTACTAAATACTATATTTTCCATCATCACATATTACATAATTAATACAACAGTCAACCAATTAACATTTCATTAGATATACCGTAACTTATAATTTATAATTTAATTAATAAACTGTTATAATTGTAAGTTTAATGTATTGTTGATGCGGATTAATCGTAACTTAGTTGTTAATAAGATAAAATATATCTCAAATTTTGGAAATCTCTAATAAAATTGATCAACTTTTTAAATTTCAAATTTAAATGAAATACATAATATAGAAAAATGTGATTTGTTGTTATTTTAGATAATTGCTGCGATGAGAAATAATAAATCTAACATTCCTGAAAATTTGGAAAATCATAATATTTCAAATTAAAAAATACCAATTAAAAGGTTTTTATGTCTTATATAATATTGGATCTCATTCGATTTAAAGAACAATTTTCTACATAAGCAAGGACAGTTTTTCCTAAAAATTCCAGTGAATAATAAAAAATCATCAATGGCAAAAACTTATGGAAAACGGTATACATTTTTCATTACCTACTGATCGAAATTACTTGTATTTCTACTCTATCCAGAATTTGGTATAAAGTACTAACAGTATACTTCCTATCGAAAGTGAGATTTCAGAAATAATATAATTACAATAACTCTATGGCGACACAATGAATAAAATTACTTATTCTGATGTGATTCTCCACAGATGCACAAGAAATATTATGTAGGAAAACGTATATTTTTCTTTCATACAAACATATTTTTTGTACGTCTGTGTGAGGATCACATGAGAATAATAATTGTAGTATGGGTTGTGTCTGAGTGAGTAATTGTTTGCTTGGTTAGTTGATCAAAATTCTCTTATGGTGTGTATTTATAGAATTCGTACAGAGTGATTCCTCTATTTTCTTCGATGTGTTTCATATTTCCCAAAAATCCTTTATAATTAAAACATATTAAATAACATTTGACTGATTTATCACAATTTCCAAATGAAGATACAATTCGAAATAAATGAATACATCTTCACATATTATCTATAAAATATGTTATATGTCACATTTTGATGAATAACTTACGAACATAAAATTAATATATGTATTCATAATTACATGTATTCTTCATGTGCATTTTCTTCATTATACATATCTAATTATAATTACTTAAAATTTATAACTGCAAACATGAGCCATTTGTAAAACACAATCCAATTCTTATATTTATAACATATTCGGCCCAAAATTAGTAACATTCTATCCACATACACTGTCAAATATCAATATTATAAAATTTGACCCAAAACTTAACAATATACCCAATAAAATTAAAATTTTAAAAAACATTCAAGTCCGCACATGCGTGCAGACCAGTATCCTAATTTATATAAAATCTAAGACCAAACTCATTTATAAATAACAGTGATGCTCTAGTCCTGCCGCAAAACATTCTTTATCGCTTCATCGTTTAACGAATGCATTTTAAGGACGACTTAGGAACAAAACTGAATGATTTATTTCAACTGCAACCAAAAGATTTATGACAGTAGAAGTCTCAAAAGCCATACCTATAATCTCTTTTGCATGACTCCCCCGGTGTTACTACTACTACATCATCCTAGAAAATTATGTTTCGAACGAGTTCCATTACATCCTATTAGCTTACAGATCCTGAAGACTCAAAAAAAAAAAAGGAGATCAGAACAACAATAGATTTCTCTATTTATTCAGAAAAGTGGAATTAATATAACTTATGGTTTAAGAATCAAGTTAAGAGATATTTTGCCATTTATTCGAAACATTGGTATTTTCAATTTATTCTAGTTAGGTCTGTGTATATTGTTTTGGCACAAATCAAGAGTTTAGTATTTTTTTGGCATTTTCCCATTAAAATAGTTTTACCACATGCCTATGTTCAAATGGAAAAAAGAAGAGAAATGTATTGATCCTCTAAAAAATAAAACATTGCATGCCCTTATATCAAATGTTTTCTCATCGTCGTCTTTACCCACCAACAGCTAGGGTGGCTCCAACGGCAATAGCTAGAAGCTTCTCCATCATTAGGGTCATTGTAATAACAGTCTTCGAAGCCTTGTCTACATTTTTCCCGACCAAATTCTTCACGATCGTCGTGCTGTCCCTACAAACCATGACATCATAGTTTGCAGTGTCTGGGGATTCCTTGAGTTCCGAGGCAGCGCTCTTAAGAGACGCTGTAATGGTCACGAAGGCATCTTGACACGCCGCAAACTGCTTCTTCATGTTTGGATTTTGCTTTGCCGCTGCTGCAGCATAACCCGCAGACTTCCCCGCATAGGATATGCTGAGGCTGAGCGCGGCCTGAGCTGCTTGGAACTACAAATTGAAAATGAATGTTATATGTGTATGATTGAGAAAGACATGAATGTAATTTCAATTACAAAAAAAAAAAAAAAAGATTTTGGTTTGATAACTGCATTTACAATCTTGAACTTTATAATGTTCAATACGTTTTCATATAATATAAAGACCCAAAGACCCTGGATTCCGATTGATACCATACTTTGAAATTATATTAGATGATTTAAGAAATAAATGTAATCGACCAAGATATTAAAACCGTTGGAAAGTACCGTGGTGGAGGCAGAAGCCGCAGGAGGATATGCGTTCAAAGTTTGGACGCAGAAAGCTTTGTCCGTGACACGGTGGCAAATGGCATCGATGGATTTTGTTGAAGCAGAGACAAAGAGAAATGAAGATTGTAACAAAACTGCCAGAGAAACAACGAGAAAAGAGGAAGATGAAGAAAAAGCCATCCGTTCTTTAAAATTGAGTTTTTGGTATTGTATTGATTTTCAATTGTGGTTATGATTATATATTACATTGCACGAATCTTAGATACACGCCTTCACAAATCTGCTTCAAAATTGGTCAAATTTTCTCATTTAATTTCCATTTACTTTCTCTTTATAATTTCATATTTTGATTCTCTGTATGGAAACTACAAAATACGGATGAATGTGGTCAATCTTTGTCCTGTATTTTAGGGAGAAGTTGGTGTGTGACCATAAAAAGACCTAATATTTGGTCAATGACAATAAAATTCCTAAATATGTTAATAACTTATCTGAGATGGAATAGACTATTATACATTATTGCTATTGTATACTATTGTTTATTAAAAAAAGGAAACAATTATAAACCCAGCACATGACATGAAGAACAATGCGTTGTGATTAACATTTCTTAATTTTTTTTTTTCAATCTCTTTTCCTTTCTTATTTTTGTTCGATCATCTCTCTTTTCAAAGTTTGAATCGTATTAAAACAAAAAGTTAGACTGATTGAATGTGATATCTGAATACATTAGTAAATGATCAAATAGATAAACTTGATTTTTAAGATATATTAGATATATTAAAAAATTACAATAATTTTTTATATGTATATAAGATATAGAATCTGTTTCAATTTAATTAAAATATTATTTTTCACAAATCTGTTATATTTAATTTATAACAATTTCTTTAAACATACATTTGATTATAAATTCCACTAATAATAAGTTCTTTTAATTTTAGATTTATAGACTATAATATTAAAATTATTTTCTACAGTAACTATTATATGTTTTTAAAAAATATATGTTCTTATAACTTATATTTCAAAATTTTATTAAAGGTCATCGTCTCGTTACAGGGAATATCAGGCTCATGCATCTGGTACGTCGTCTTAGTTTGACAGACGATGTATCAATCATGTATCTGACACGGTGATCTCCGAATCTGGTGACATTCCGGATATGTCTGATGACATCTCGGAATCCCGGCATTTTCTGCGACTTTTCTGTCTTCCCAGGCCTTCTACGATAGTATCAATGATTTACTTTTATATCCAGAACGAGAGTTATGCACGAAGCTTGATTCTTTTCTTCAAGGAAATTCGACTTGGTAAATCAAAATTTTTAATTTTTTAATTTTATTGAATATGTTTTTTGAAAATAATAAGTTTGTTTTTGTTATAAAGGTTTGGATTTTCAAACAATAAGATTAGCAAATGCTACATTTAATGCTCGATAAGCCCTACCCGACGTTCTCTGAATTTCCTATCGAAGAGAAAAATATTTGGTTCAAACAATTTGCGGTAAGTATTTAGTCATCAACTAACAAATTTTTTTAATATTAATATTATCTAAAAAGAACATGTTTTAAATTATTTTTTAGCAAGAGTTTACTTAGCATAGAAGTAGCATGAGAAAAGTCGAAGAGTATTTTCATGAAGAATGTGCTACGCAATACTCCAACCACATGTACGAGTGGAAACAGAAGTAGAAGAGAAGTCAAGGAAAACCGAGAGGTTTGAACCCTCTGTCTAGGAAAAATTAATCCCTTACTGGCAAAATCCGGAGACGGATAAGACGTCAAATAGACAATCCAAAAACCGAAAGAGTGACCGAGACGGCAAGGGGGAATACGTCCATAACTCCCACTACAAGAAAACATGAAATTAACAACTGCCATTTACGACAGATAAAACAGTCGTAAATAGTTCCGACTGTTTAGCGACTGTTTTACGTCTATTTAGTGACTAATGTAATTTAGTCGTAAAAGGGTCGCTGATTTGTTGCCAATTAAAAAAGTCGTAATTTGGTCGTTAATTAACGACTACATTGCGACTTGTGCGGCGGGTCGCATAATTTATAACACGTGTTATGACTTTTTTGGTAGGTGTACCAGTTTTTTGCGACTAAAACTGTGCAGTCGCAGTTTAGTCGGAAAATAGTAGCAATGTAGTCGCAAATTTTTCTATATATACAGCACAACGCATCTCTCTTCCATTCATTCACAAACACAAGCTCTGAAATTCTGAGAGCGTTTCTAAGATATAATGTCTAGAAATTTCAGTAATAATAGTAATAGAGAGTGGATGTATAGACGGATCGATGAAGAGACGGAAAATTTCTCAACGGAATTTGTTTCCGGGGTGGAATAATTTATGAATTTTGCAAACAACCAAATGCTAGCACAGAGTAATGGCGGTAAATTTTACTGTCCTTGTAGTGTTTGCAAAAATAATAAATTTTTGCCGGGGAACAAAATTTGGAATCATTTGTACAGTAAAGGGTTCATACCAGATTACTATATTTGGTATAAGCATGGGGAAGAAATTACTATGGATTATGGAACTAGTTATGGTAATACAACTCATTTAAGTTGGAGTGAAGAAGATGTGGGTAATGTAGTAGGAGATAGATATGTGGATATGGTGAATGATGCATTTCATGGTAATTATCATCAAGATGATAGTTATCAGAATGTACGTAACCATCCCCAACAATTTTACAATTTGTTAGAAGCTGGGAAAAAACCATTATATGATGGTTGTCATGAAGGTCACTCGCAGTTATCTTTAGCTGCTCGGTTCATGCAAAATAAGGTAGATTATAATATGAGTGAAAAGTGTGTGGATCCGTGGGCATCTTTGTTTACGGAGTATTTACCAGAAAGAAATCAGTCAACCAAGTCACATTACGAGACAGAGAAATTGATGGGAAATTTGGGGCTTCCGTTTCATAAAATCGATGTTTGTATTAACAATTGTATGATCTTCTGGAAAGAAGATGAAATGTGGGAGGAGTGTAAATTTTGTCAGTCACCCAGATATAAGCCTAACGAAGGACGACGTTCACGAACCAGAATACCATATAGTCGTATGTGGTATCAACCTATTGGTGATAGATTAAAGAGGATGTATCAGAGCCAGAAGACTGCAGCGGCAATGAGATGGCATGCTGAAAACCATGCAAAGGAGGGCGAAATGTGTCATCCCTGTGATGCTGCAGAGTGGAAATATTTTCAAAATCTACATCCCCAATTTGCTGAAGAACCCCGTAACGTGTATCTTGGGTTATGTACAGATGGATTCAATCCATTTGGCATGTCTCGTAATCATTCATTATGGCCTGTGATCTTGACTCCTTATAATTTACCCCCTGGTATGTGCATGAAGACTGAGTACTTGTTCCTCACAATACTGAATTCTGGGCCAAATCATCCGCGTGCTAGTCTCAATATCTTCCTCCGACCTCTTATCGAGGAGTTAAAAGAATTATGGTCAACTGGAATCGATGCATACGATGTATCTTTGCAGCAGAATTTCAAACTAAAGGCTGTGCTGATGTGGACGATAAGCGACTTTCCGGCGTATGGCATGTTGTCAGGATGGACGACCCATGGTAGATTGGCTTGTCCAATTTGTATGGACGATACAAAGGCATTTTATCTGCCTAATGGAAGGAAGACGTGTTGGTTTGATTGTTATAGGAGGTTTCTCCCTCATGGTCATCCATTACGAAAGAATATAAAAGACTTTTTGAAGGGTAGACACGCTATAAATGAGTCACCACCACAGTCTTTGACAGGTGAACAAGTTTATAGTGAGCGAATAGAAACTGTCAATCCTGCAAAAACGTCTGATTGCGGTGGAAACGGTCATGAAAAAAAGATGCCCGGATATGGGAAGTGGCATAACTGGCACAAAGAAAGTATATTTTGGGAGTTGCCTTATTGGAGGGACCTCAATCTCCGACATAATCTTGATGTGATGCATATAGAGAAGAATTTCTTTGATAACATCATGAATACTCTAATGAGTGTTGCGGGTAAATCAAAAGACAATATCAAGTCAAGGTTGGATATAGAACGATTTTGTGATCGGGCACACTTACATCTTGCTGAAAATGGTCAAGCTCCTTTTCCAGTATACACATTGGAAGAAGCTGATAGAAGAAGATTATTGGAATGTGTGAAAGGGGTACAATTTCCTGACGGTTATGCGTCAGACTTAGCTGCTTGTGTTGATATAGAAAGAGGAAAGCTTTCCGGCATGAAGAGTCATGACTGCCATGTTTTTATGGAACGGCTACTTCCATTTATCTTTTCAGAACTCTTGGACCGTAATGTCCACCTAGCATTATCAGGTACTTTAGTCGATTTAATGGTACATACATGTAAAAGTTCTGATTATAGTAATTTATTCTGAATTGAACTTTCATATATCTAGGTATTGGAGGATTCATTCGTGACTTATGTTCAAGAACTTTGCAAAAAAACAGGGTCCAAATCTTAAAACAAAACATAGTCCTAATCTTATGCAATTTGGAGAAGATTTTTCCACCATCATTTTTCGACGTAATGGAGCACTTGCCTATACATCTTCCTTATGAAGCTGAATTAGGAGGCCCCGTGCAGTATAGGTGGATGTATCCTTTTGAAAGGTTTTTAAAAAAACTGAAAGCAAAAGCAAAAAATAAAAGATATGCATCAGGATCAATTGTTGAATCATATATCAATGACGAGATTGCTTATTTTACGGAGCATTACTTTTCCGATCATATACAAACGAAATCAAGGTAAACTCCAAAACTGTGAATTCATATTTATAATTAGTCTATAATGGCCAAGGTAATTTTACATTAATATGTGAATTCATTTTTATTATTAAATATTGCACAGGTTAACAAGATTTGACGAAGGTGAAGTCCCTATATATGATGTCCCCGGAGTTCCTGATATATTTACTCACGTAGGTCGGCCAAGTGGGCAAATGCATGAAATATGGCTTTCAGAAAAAGATCACAAAATTGCACATGCATATGTTTTACGAAATTGCGATTACTTTCAACCCTTTGAGAGGTATATCGAATTTCATCCTTTTCAGATGTATAATCTAATATCATTTCTAGTATCATTACTTACAACCCTTTATACAAGATGTTTGAGGATTATATTTGCACAAAATATCCACAACTCTCTGATAAAGAAGTCGCTAAAGAAAGAGCTGACGAATATCCTTCATGGGTGAAGAATTATGTACGTTTTCTATATGTTTACTAACTATGTACGTTTTCTATCAACAAATTAGTAATGTATACATATATTTATATGTGCAGGTTACTTACTGGAATGCCACAAATCCTTTTCCTATTTGGCTTCAGGATATAGTTCACGGACCAGTCAATAAAGCCAAAACCTGGCCTATTTACTTTACGAGAGGATATTTGTTTCATACACAGAACCATGGCAGAGGACGGAAGACATGTAACTTTGGAGTGTGTGTTAAAGGAGAAAACTACACCGATGCATCTGATGAAGCTGATTTTTACGGGATCTTAACTGATATCATACAACTAGAGTATGAGGGGATGGCAAATTTGAAAATCACACTTTTCAAGTGTGAGTGGTATGACCCTTTAATTGGTAGAGGCACTCGAAGGAGCAATGGTGGTGTCGTTGACGTTCTTTCATCAAGAAAGTACAACAAATATGAACCATTTATTCTAGGTACGCATGATATATAAATATATAAATTTATATCTAACTCAATAAATATAATGATGATATATTCACTTGGTATTCATATTTGTATTCCACAGCCTCCCAAGCAGATCAAATATGTTATATTCCATATCCAACCCGAAAAAAACCAAAGCAGATGTGGCTAAACGTCTTACAAGTGAATCCAAGAGGGAATATATCAGGAAATTATGAAGATAAAGAACCAACTCTCTTGCAACAAGAGAGTGATGATGCTGTTATGCTGACCACAATTGAAGATATCATTGTTGAAAATCGAGTACACAGAGTAAACCCGCTAAATCTCGATTTTGATGTCGGAGATGCAGAACCAGAAGATGAATTTATGTGTAATTTATCATCATCTGATGATGAAGATGAAGACGAAGAGAATCCTTATTAATCTGTGTATGTTTATGATTACAAAACATGAATAAAATTGTTGTGTTGTAAGATAAATTATGTTGATTTTTTTTTACAAAAATTAGAATTTTACAGATTGAATAGCGACTGATCTCCTACTAAAGGTCTAAAATTAAACTCGCTAATTGAGCCCAACCCTAATCCCATTAACAGGCCCAATAATTTTACTAAGCCCACTAAACCCCGATTAACCCTTAATCGCGAAAAATCCCCAAATCACTTTCTATTCCACGAACCCCAATTCCCGAAATCCCAAAAGCTCCCTTGAAATCGATCCCTTTTCGATTCGATTCCAACCCTAAGTCGACAGATAAACGATCCCATACCCTTCTAAATCGATCGATAAACCATAATTTTCAGTTCTAATCGATCGATCTTCTTCACCGCTGGTCCCGAAACCCTAATTGATCGATTCCCAATGACCTTCGATATCAAGCCTCTCCTGGAATCCGATGGGTGGCCGTGGAAGGAAGAAACGCGGAGGAGCACGAGGAGGAGCCGCCGTAACTCCGTTACCCAGTCGGTATGATTTCATACCGGCGACATCTCCACCACCGCTGGTCCCAACCTACGCGCCGACACATGTCTGAGACTATCCACCGCCGATGGAGCTCTTCCAGAGCTTGCAACAAGGAGGCCCTGAGTTGCAACCACCACCTCAACCTAGAAGGTCAGAGCAATCGCAAATTCGATTCTCTCCATCTCCTCAACACCGCTTCCAAGACCAACCTCATCGGCAGCATTCTGCATCACCTCATTCTCATCAAGGAGCTTCCGGAGCTTCTTCTTTCTCTCAAAACCGAGCCTCTCCATTATCTCAAGAAGGAGGTAATTCTCCACACTCTCAACAAGCTCATTATGACGGTGAAGAAGCTGCATTTCCAGATCCTTCTGAAGAACAAGACAGTGCTGTCAATCTCTCTGAAGACCAGCTTCAGATTCTTAATGCCTTGCTCACAAAGCCTGGAAGAGAGGCTTATACTACGGTGTTGTCTCCCATAGAGAAACCGGGTACAACGTGGTAAGTCTACTTCCTCTAGCTTGATTTGTTTCCTTCTTCAAATGATGATCTCGATGACTTCTTCCTTTGTTTTCTTTGTATGTAGGTTTGGTCGTGACAAGTCCTCACTTACCCGGAAGATTACCAAGTTCTTCACCAACAAGTTTGATGGCCCTTTCTACAGCTGGACTCGTGTGCCTCGTGATAGGCAAGAGCGTTACTTCGTGGAATTCGCGGTAAGATCCTCATTTTCATTTATATGTGTTTGTTATTGAGTTTGTATCTATGTATTATTCTAACATCATCTCTTTGTCTCTTGTTATTGTAGAAAACCCACACCTGGGATCCCTTGATCACTGGTGTGGTTCAAGCCAAGTTTGAGAGTATTTGCAAAAGCAGGATGAAGGATATGGTCAGCACCGTTAGGAAATCAAGAGTGCAACCTAACTGGATCGGCGATACACTCTGGGAACAAATGACTGAGCATTGGGACAAAGAAGAATCCAAAGAAAAGAGTTCAACCACTTCAGCTGCTCGATTGTCTGAACGTGACGGTCTTGGTCCTCACGTTCACTACTCAGGTCAGAAATCCTATCTGCAAATCCAGCAAGAAATGGTAACTTTCTACTCTTTTATTATTCATTAAGTGTTAGAGTCTTATGAATCGATGCATAACTTCCCATTGACATATTTTGGTTTATCATTTCAGGAAGAGGAATTAGGTAGACCGGTGAGTCTTGGTGAAGTTTTCATCAGGACTCATACAAAAAAGGATGGGAGTTATGTGGATGGAAAGGCAAAGAGAGTGGTTGAGACTTACCAGAAAAACTTGGAAGCCAAGTTGTCTGCCATCAGGACTGAAAACTCAGAGAATCCTGAGGGTACATCACCTCGTCGAGAGCTAACTGTTGAAGAGGAGAATGACTTGTTTCTACAGGTACGATTCAGTTTTCTTATTTGGGTTTTTTTTGCTAACTCTTTTTTTTCCTCGTCGAGAGCTAACTCTTTTTTTTTTGTATTCGCAGTCCACTATTATGTGTGAAAGAGGAATACCTTATGGAGTTGGTAGCCTCTCTAACTTGTATGTAAATGGCAAGAGGAAGTACCCAGGAAGCTCTGCATCCTACAACACTCTGCAGGAACAGCTTCAACAAGCTCAACAGCAAATTGAGCTCCAAGCGGCTGAGAATGCACGGCGTGAAGCAGAGTTTGCCAAAACTACAGCTGCGCAAGAAGCCAAGCTCGAGAAGATCACGATGGTTGAAAGGTACTTGACTCAAACTGATCCACGGTTCAATGATTTTTTGGCTAGTCAAACTCCTCTATCGACCACTCCTGCTGCGAAGTCTCCAACACCTGCTGATCCGATAACTAATGGAACCTTAGAAGAGTAGGTCTCTTCTCACTTTTTTTAGAACCTTGGAACTATTATAATGTCTCGGAAACTTAGAAGAGTAGGTCTACTTCTCTATAATGGTTGTATATTGTAACCATTTTAGATTTTTTTGGTTTGTATGCAATGACTTTTATGTAAATTATTTGTTCCTTTTTGCTTTTTAAATATTCATCATGATTTTAGAATTCAAAAAAGACTTTTTAGAGCATTGTTTGTAATCAGGGTTTCAAATTGGGGGTTTGTAAACAGCAATACCAAATTGAATATACGATGCTCAAAATAGTTGCAAACCAGTCATAAATTAGTCGGAAAATAGTCACAGATCAGAAACAAATCAGTCGCAAAATTGCAACAAATTACTATTCATTTCTCGACATCAGTCGGTATACAGTCGCTAATTCGAAGGTAAATGGGTCACGAAACAGTCGTAACTTGGTCGTTATATTTAACGACTAATTACCTACGACTCGTATATTATTAATACGACTACATTATAGTCGTAATTGAGTCGCACAAGTAGTCGTAAAGTAGTCGTTAAATTTGCCGACTACATTACGACTAATTTACGATAATAAATATCAAACGCACATTAGTCGTAATTCAGTCGCACATTAGCGACTACTCTACGACTGTTTGAATTAGCGACTAAGAATTAGCGACTGTGTATTTCAATCGCTAATCAGACGTACAATGCTGAGTTACGACTGATTTCCGACCATTTCTGCTGTCGCTAATTTTCTGTTTTTTTCCTGATCCGGTTCGACGAGTTTTTTGAGTCGAGAACTCTAAATGGTAATATTGTTTTCCCTTTAATACTTTTGTATATTAGTTGTTTTCTTTAAAAAAAATTATTTATAAGTTTTTTTAATAGACAAATGCGGTAGGAGTAGAACCTCCAAGTCATCTAGACCTGATGTAGGCGTGTCACACAAACAAGACATCCAACGTAATTCAAGATCCTCTTGTAGCTGAAATTTGTTCACAGGTTGATGAAGAGCTCATCCAGTCACAAGGTGATTCTTCCTCTCATGTCATTCTCCCGCGCGAGGAAGTCAACCGTCGGGTTCGCGAAGTAAGTTTGTTTTCTTTTTGTTTCTCCTTTATAATTTAAATTGTTCTTTCTTTTAAATTTTCTTAATTCAAAATTTTCGTTTGACTATTGCAGGTACTTCCTGTCAAAAAATGACGTTGACATGGTCTTGAAAAAGTATTATACAAGGAAGAGATATTGAGCCTTAACCAGATTCTCAAAGATATTATGGAACATAACCAAACATTTCAAGAGAAAGTAACGGCTTTGAAGAAAGCTAAAGCTTATACAGAAATAAAGCTTTCAAACATGAAGACGTGGATGAGGTTGAGGTTCCCTAATTTTCCAGGACCGGGAACAGGCGGAAGTACGGGAATAGGAAATTAGAAATAATTGTTTTTTTGTAATTTGGATATTTAATATTTTGTATGAATTTGATTTTATTTATAAATTTAATTTTAAATTAGCATTTTAATTATTTAATAAATTATTTATATGATTTATTTTTAAATATGTTTTTTATTAAAATATAGGAGTGGTCGGAAATTAGTCGGAAATTGGTCGGAAATTACAAAACAAAATCCGTCGAGAATCCGTTAGAAAAAAAATCAGTCAGAAATCCGTCGGGAAGCGATCCTGTTGGGAAGTCGGGACTTGACAAATTCAATATCTCCCGGATTTTCGTTGGAAAACTGCATCCGTTGGATATCCATCGATAAAGGACAAAATTGGAGATCCGTCGGAAATCTGTCAAAAAACATATGGCTGTCGGAAAACCATAATATTGAAAAAAACTAAACATATGCCTCCTCTTATGCCCACCTGTAACGCCCTTATGTTTTGTAGTTCCAAATTAAAGTGATATTGAAAAAAGTTAACGCAATTAACGATCCAATTTAAACTAGAGTAACTTGGGTAGAAACTAAAAATTGTCCAGTTTATTAAGAAAATACCAAAGCATAAATAAAATTTAGGTGGAAAAATAGTTTGACTAAAATCATTCCCGATTTGCCCCTATATGTGCTGAAGTCAGAGATTACTTTAAATGAGCCTGCACCGACAACAACATTTAAATCCTGACACATATGCAGAGAATACTGGATACGCAGCGCCGCTTGACACAAGATATCGCAATATCTTATTATTGCATGGTCGATAACTTGTTCAGGTAACAATCACATTGGTACGCTAACAATAAATATTTTAATGGTTAACTCCTCTATTTAATGCTTCGCTGGTAATGAAGATGAAGCAGAAAAAACATACCCAGTAGTTCATTTATTACAGAGAAACCTGGTTGCAGCCGTAATAACTGCCGGTGAGACGTTAACAAACTGCTTCCTAAAATCAGGTAAGTGTGTTCGATTTCTATGATATTCCGTTATACGAGTAATCATGTAACTACGATATCTTGAAAACAGAACTATTGATACTCTCTGTTATCCCATTTATCTAATAATTCACCTTTCGGTTATACAGAATCTTGGCGAAATGACTCTTGAAGTTTCTGTTGTCCGCGGTGTCTGGAAGAAACGAAGCGATGGAAGTTGGGTTCACGAACCCGACCAAGTTGGGATTTTTTCCTCTATTGGAATGAAGGAACGAGACACCTTCATCTCGATGGTTACTGCAATTAAATCGGGGTTGAAACTTCAACCGGAAGAAGAAGTCGACATAACCTACACATGGCCCTCAATGGATTCTGGGTCCTGAGTGGAGGAAGGTGGCTCCCAATCCCTATTAAAAATGATGAAGACGCAGCCTTGTTTTTGGCAATCAAGGCCGACCTGGAAGAGGTCTACCTGCGATTTAGGGTTCACCGTCCGACGTCTGAGACAACTGCTTACTTGTTTAACCGATCTTTGGATTTAAATAGTAACTGTGTTAGTACTGGTAGCGCAGCAATGTCGATTGTCCCCTACGGCGTGCAGTACTCGAGCACGCCCTCACCAACAGACACTCCAACAACGGTATTACCACGATTAAGAGGTACAAGCTTATATTTTAACAAGCATAACATTTACACCATCTACGGGTATATGCAGGTGTTTAACCGATGTTAACTGTTAACAGATTTTCAAACAGTGGTAATGAACAACTTGGAGACTGTGGCCGCATCACCTGCTATTCCAACAGCTAGTAGTGTAAACGGTTCAGACTCTGCCAAGCTGAACACTTGTTCAAAAGGAAAAGGTAACTGTGGGTTTAGTTTATTTGGTTACAACGATGCAATATATTTTGTATAGTTACTCGGAAAAATTAACAGTTAAAACGTATAACACATTTGCAGGCATTATGATTGCTGCATCTCCGGAGAGGCAAACTCAAACGGATGAGTCTCCCCTTCCTCGCGATCTGACTGAACTCTGGCGTTTCTTCCATGGCCCACCATGTCCTTTTGGGAGGGCTACTGAAAACGAGGCTGTTAACACTGTTACTAGTGCAGTTGACGTCATGGATATAGATGGCTCCGCGAAAATGTCAACAATCCCAACGGCCTGCCGTGAGGCGGGATTACAGCTTACTTTGGCTGGGGCGTACGTAGAGGAAGACCAAGAATACCCAGTTGTGCCTACACAAACTGATGTGGCGAATGTGGAGTCGTCTTCCTCTGCAACATCAATCCCGTCATCATCAAGTAGTCATGACTTCTCCGAGGAAGAACTAGTCTCAACCGAGGAGATTGACATACGTATGTCGCTCATAGGTAACTGAAACTTGAATGATTTTACATTGATTAACATTAACCGAAACAGGAACCAATGGAAAAAATGAGGTGATCCTCTCATACTGCAGGTGAGGATTTGATCGCTCGTTTATACGACGATCCAGTCCCGGATCCGATACTGCAAACAGCAACTCCGCAAATGGATCTGATACAATCGTCTAACACGCTGGCCGACAAGGGCAAAGGAGTGATGACCGAGAGAGGAATGGCTACACGTGAAGTAGGAACTTCATCAACAGCTCCACATGAAATGTCTGCGGAGTTAATAGCAATGATGTTATCACGTAACAATACCGTGTTACATGGTATACATGATGTGATAGTCGCTAATCCACATATGTTAAGTCAGACACCTCTTTCGCTGACCGGAAATCCGGTTGTTATGCTTCACACGCCGCCGGTTAACGTTGACCCCCGGGTTGAACCAGCATTGCACGAGAGGGACGCACCTCCATACTTTGATGACCCTGTAGCCGGAGGTAAGCAAATTATTTGCTAATTACTGATATAAGTGATAAACAAATTATTAATTAGATACTGTTAACTCTGTGTATTTGTCAGGTGATGAGTTAGCCAGAGGGATAGGTGATGTACAATACGAAGGCGATGAAATTTACGTCGGGCGCATCGTCAAGAATAAGGAGGAGTGCAAGTTGAAACTCGCCATTCATGCAATAAATCGAAGGTTCCACTTCAAGACACTGAATTCTTGCCCAGAGCACGTCATTGTGGTGTGTGTGGGTCCTAGGTGCCCTTGGCGAATATATACGGTGCAGTTGAAAGACAGTGTTCGCTTTGAAGTAAGAACGGTCAACGCCAAACACACTTGCAGTGTGGACGCACGTGGGGACTTCCACCGAGTAGCATCTACGGAGGTAATAGGAAAGATGGTCCGTGAGCGATATGGCCTGAACGACAAAGGTCCGCGAGCTTGTGATCTTCGCCGCCTGTTACGTCAAGAATACAGTCTGCACGTCAGCTACTAGAAGGCATCGCGAGCGAGGGAACTTGCGATGGATAACGCATTAGGTGGTGCTGCGGCGAGCTTTGCTTTGGTCACACCAATTTTGAAAAACTACTCACCACCATTCCCAACTCGGTAGTAGCTTTGGAAACTGAGACTTCAGCAACGGGGGTGGTACGTTTCAAATATCTATTCTACTCGTTAGGTGCGTGTGTTCAAGGTTATCCCTACATGAGGAAAGTGGTTGTGATCGATGCTACCCACTTAAGCGGATGTTATGGTGGTTGTCTCATGGCCGCAAGTGCTCAGGATGGAAATTTCCAAGTATTTCCACTAGGGTTTGGCATTGTCAACAGTGAAACGACGACTCCTGGGAATGGTTCCTGAGGAAGCTAAGCACCATTGTTCCAGATGAACATGATCTAGTCTTTGTTTCGGATCGCCATGCTTCAATTTACGCAGTATTCGAAAGGTTAGTCGTTATTACTTTATGTTAACAAAACTATTTGTTACCGACTAACCTTGACAAACTGCTAATAATACTATTATCTTGATAATCGTTGAAGGTGTATACGATGTCTTCACATGGAGCCTGCATTGTCCATTTACAAAGGAATGTCGTGACACAGTTTAAATCTGAGCACCTCAGTCACCTGACATCAGTAGCTGGCCGTGCTTACCGTTTCAGCGACTTTGTCAAAGCCTTCCATGAGATAAAGTCCATCGATGTTAGGTGTGCTGAATATCTGGAGCGAGTTGGTTTTGAACACTGGACTAGGTCTTATTTCATAGGTGAACGATACAATGTGATGACTAGCAACATTTCAGAATCTTTAAACAAGGTGATGACAATGGTTAGAGAGTACCCCATAATGTCAATCTTGGAAACGATAAGAACAACCCTTGTTTCTTGGTTTGCTCTAAGAAGAGAGTCTGCAAACACTGAAAACGACATTGTGAACCCAAAGATACAAGAAATGCTGATTGAGAGTTTTCACAAGTCATCCGGCTACTTCGTCATGAAAATCGGTACCCCTGACCCTGCATTCCATTCACGGTGACGTCTTTTTGTAACAAATATAATTTATCTTCTATCTTGGTTAACGTGCAGGTAATGGACTCTATGAGGTTCGTGACGATGTTGATACGGCTTTTGCAGTGAATTTGTGGGAAGAAACCTGCGGTTGCAGGGAATTCCAACTACTACACATTCCTTGTTGCCATGCCATAGCTGCAGCAATAAAAGAAGGCGTCCGTGTAGATAGTTTGGTTGACATTCATTATTCAACCGAGTATCGGAAGTTGGCGTACAGTGGGGTTATTATGCCGGTGCCAGATACAGACCATCTTGCTCCAAAGCCAGAAGATGTAGGTGGTGGAAATCTTGCACCCCCGTCTGTTCGTCGACCACCAGGAAGGCCACGGAAGCTGCGGATAATTCTCGTGGTGAATTTAAGGTAGACAAACTCATTAGTTGTTGCTTATGTTAGTGGTTTATACCAAATAATTAATTGTTAATATCTGTTAATTATTTGGGTTCGAACTTTTCAAGCGTGTGTCAAGGAGAAAGTGCACAAGGTGCCGGGGGCGCGGTCACAACCGTTCCACCTGCAAAGCCCCATTATCGGTAATCATATATTCCATATTATCCTAAGCTTTTATGATGATTATTAGTATAACAGCTAACATTTTTATACAGGGGGAATAAGCACGCTGAATCAGATTTTTTTTGGCGGAAGGATGGTGCCTAATTCCCATTTTTTTCTGTTTCTCTTTGTAAGGGAAGTTTAGGATCTTCAAAAATATGTTGCCGTTCATTTTTACTTTGTCTATAGTAACGGCTGCAATGACCAAGTAGTTAGTCGTCGACTTTTGACTTGTTTAAAGACGACTTTGTAAGACCGCGGCTATGTGTTGTATAACCTACTCCACCATCCTTAATATATGCAAATCGTTATTATTTGTCTACATCAATTATAAAGCCATTATATCATCGAGACAATGTTAGTCTATAACTGAAGTAATTACAGAATCATTTTTTATTCAAAGTTAAATCTTTAAAAACAGCCACTATTAAAAAAAAACTTAAACGCAAACATCAAAGAACTAATATTACACGATAACATCTACCGGTAGAAAATCCTTTACCGAATTCATATATTGGTATCGTCTAACCTTTCAATCGTTAAGTGAAGTAACAAGAAAAACTAATAGTAAATGGTAATTCTATGCAATTTAATGGGACTAGCCGAAAACAACTAACATACTTTTTTTACACGCTAACGTCTCGAATTAGAGACTAGCTACGATGTGTTAAAAGGCTATTCAAGACCTAATTCCGAACTTAGTAACGTAAACCAAGTAACAGTTGTTTAGAACGTTAGTAAAAGGCTATTCAAGATAGCAGATAACAGTTGTTTCAAAACTGAACCGTAAGCACTAAGCGCTAACCCCTAAACCCCAAACCTTAAAGCCGAAAATCCAAAACGGAACCTAAACACTTAACATGATTTGTTTACACGCTAACTTCAATGTTTAGCAGGTCAAGTTGTTAGCGGCTAACTTAAACATTGTAAAAATCAAGTAACTCAGTAGTGAATGGCTATAATGTTAACGGTTAAAGACTAGAGCATGAAACTCAAATTGTAAACCTAAACCCTTAACCCTAACTTTCAAAACAGTAAACCGAAATCGTAGTCCCAAAACTCTATACTAAACAGGTAATCTATGATTGTTACACCATAATATAGACTGTTAGCAGCTAGGAATGACATGTTATCAGCTAGTAATGGCAGTTTAGTGTCAAAAAATTAACTTCAATTCAACAGCCTAATTCAGATATTGTTAACGCCTAACAATATATTTAAAATTGAGTTAAAGAAAAACATGTTCGGAATGGATATTTATAACAAAATGTTAACATAAAAAGATATTACGGTTAACGGGTATTCAAGATACTAGATAACAATTGTTGCAAAACTAAACATTGTTAGTTAACAGATAACGAGATAAAAGAGATTAAAATAGTCTCGATAACTGGAATATTCCGTAGTTTGAAAACCTAAAATGTGGTAGTAAAACAGAGACAACATTTACTCAACGTAATTCACATATTGTTAGCGCCTAACAATATATTGAAAATTGAATTAAAAGAAAAACAAATGCAGAATGGAGATTAGTGACAAAATGTTAAAATAAAATATAATGCGGTTAACAGATATTCAAGATAGCAGATACCAATTGTTTCAACACTAAACCCTTTTAGATAACAGATACCTAGATAAACGAGATTAAATAGTATCGATAACTAGAATATCGTGTAATTTCAAATTCAAATATCTGGTAGTAAAACAGAAACAACATTTAATAAAACGAGTGGAAGCTTGCAAGTCTGACATAATGAGAACACTGGAAAAACAAGGTCTTCAAGTGATTACCATTTAAAGGTATTGATCAATCATAACCATCGCAACTTTCTTTGCCTCCATATCAATATGAGTAAGGTCGAATTCAAGACAACCCTGGATGCCAAATAACGCATGAGATAACATCAAGAAATAGGCGACGAGGCCGGCATCAGGGGTTGATTTGATCTGAGGAACATTGCAGACCCTTATAATCTCATATTCGCTGGTCCCAACCTGACTCATCTGTTCGTTAGCGGCAACCTCCTTAAACAAATAAGGCAACATCTCCGCTAAAGGACGGATTTCAGTACACATGCTAACATCGCTCTGAAGCTTGGCATTGCAGTCGATAACATGGATCTTGCAGGAGACAACATCAACCGCAAGGAATACCCAATGCTTAATATCGAGGTTGAATGGCAAATAAAGGACGTCGGCATCAGTGAAAAGCTGCACGCGGTCGAGCTCACCAACACCCTGGACTCTTTCGATAAGAGCTTTTGAAAACTTGAAGGCAGCACGGTTATACGCCTTGCTAAATCTCGGGTACAACTTGGTTAGCATTGATACAAACTTAGAATCCAATACATCGACTCTGGGTTTCCGACTGTCTTCACGGAGCAAGTTTCTGCCGAGCATGCAGAGAGTATCCATCACCTGGGGGAAGAAACACATGTTCATAATAAAGAAGAAGATCGTTATTAATACCAAGTTTATTATACAAACCTTGGCAGGCATTGATTTCTGTCTCCCCCAGCATTTCGTTTATATCCTTCGACGTTAGCACAATTCCTTCACCGACATTCAGAGGCCTACGAATATCCCAAGCGTCAACATTGCTTTGATGTGGTTTTAAAAAACAAAGCACAAATCTCATTTAAACGTTGACAATTAAGTTAGACTGTAACCTTTTGAACGCTTTCATTGCTTTTTTAAAGCGTTGTTGTAGGGATCTCTCCGCCTCATCAACTGGAGGATTCTGTCCTATTATTGATCTAATTCGTTTCTCACAGAGAAATGGACTGTCATATCTGGTTGATACTGTCCTCACACGCTTGCTAAATCTCCTGTGAATTTGCTCCACCTCAACTTGAGGCTCAGAAACCTCAACAGGCGTATGGGGATTGTCGTCCTCCCTTTCAGAGATAGGAACACTTCCGTCCATCTTCCCACCATGTAGCAAAAAACATGCGTTACTAACCACAAAATCAAAATTTTTAAAATAAATCACAGATTGCAGCAGCTGAACACTAAACCTCCGTAGTGTGGTCATCAGGGTCGGACGTGTTAACATCAAGTACCCCCACTGCTTGTGACTCCCCTAGACATTCCTCCTAAACTCATTGAACGGAAATAGCATGTTAGCAGTTAGCGTCTGTTTTTGATTTGTTATTGAATAATTTTGCAAAAATATAGCCTAAATCCAGGTTGTTGTATATGCTTGATTTTTTAGGCGATAATATAGTTATACAAAACAAAACAATGGTTAGCCTTAAACGATGGAACTATTAGCACCTAACTTGTATTATGAATAAGTTGCCTGTATTATATCTGGTTTTGGGTACATTAAATGGACAGTACCTTTGCCACCACGTTGTATCCTGTCTCAGGGATTGGCACTGAAATGGATTGTGCATTCTGAGATGCGGATGAGGCCACAGTGTCTTGTAACATATAGAGCAAATGCATCAAGTAATCTGTGGGGCACGTGAAAACATAAGGCCATTATTCCCATAACGTGGATAGCCCCTACTACGATTACCTAACAGGCCACCGAAACGTTAACATACGTATTTTCGAAAACTAGGCACCTAAACCTATATATCTACCACATATGAAGTAATATTGTTAGACACTAACTCAAAATGCTGCAGGTTAACACGTTGGTTAACGCCTATCACATATATGTTAGCGTTATTTGTTAACCGTTAACGACGATGCATTACGGGTACCTTTTCTCCTGGCTCAGAGATTCACACAGGATTTGGTTGTGAAGTCTGAGAAGTCTGGGTTACGGATGAGTCCAGAGTTTCCTGTTCGGTTAACAAACAATAATCACCCGAATGCATACAAATAACATGAGGCTATTATGCCAAAAACCTGGTTATTACCTAAACCATAACTCACTAACATAATTAACATAATTGTTTAGAACAGGTTGGGTATGAGAACCTTTCCCTGCAAATTGACCAGAGATGGTGACTTATCGCCGTCCTTTTGACCATTAAGCTGGTGAGTATCCGCATTTTCCATTCCCTATCATCCGCAAACACAAAAGAAGACGGTCAACAAGATCCAAAATCAACAAGATCCAAAATCAACTACGTTACCAACATACCTTCTCTCGTCTCGCGTCTTCTGTAAAACCAATCCCAGCGTCGCCTGATATTGGTGTCCCATCTAGACCATCCTCTGCAACTTGGAAGCTAACCTCATTTATGGTATCGTTCTGATCCTCACCATCCAGAGCTGCTGTTCTCGCATTGTTGCCATCTTCAACGGTTGCTGATACGTAATGTGAAACGATCTCATCTGCTGTAGGCATATTACATGGATCCAAGCTTGACTGCGGAGCAGAACGATCTTCAATAGTCTGGGGTTCAAGATTTACTCGGTGTTGAGGGACATTTGGTGGTGAAGCAACCGGTTGCCACTAGGCGCAGCCTGTTGCTGCCGAGACCTCGTTCTCCCAGCGCTTAACCCCGAGAAAGATGGACCAGCATTCATTTCGCGATCGATAACTGCGTTATCAAGAAACCACTGAGTTATACTGTTGATGATTGTCTGATTTTTATCTGCTAACAATCGTTCAATCTTCCTGTTGTTGTCCTGAACAATCTTTAAAACGAGTGCCTTCATTTTCTCCTCCGTGAGACCCACTACTTTCTCATTGGTAGGCGCCACCGTTGCGGTTGTACGACGTCTACTAGACTTTCTCATCTTACCCCTGCCTTTCTTTGCTGCCGCTACCTTTGCTTTTTGACCACCCCTGCGAGAACTTGTTCGGGCCACTAACGATTCAGGATCAAGACCAGGACCAAACATGTTAGACTTAAATTCAAATCCTTGGTTGATAAGCGTATTCATATGATCAACCCTCTCATCCGGTTCGTCTTCACTCCAAGACAGATCCTCTTGCTCATTGTCGAATTCAAAATCTGGCCGAATGATTGAATGAACGTCGACTTAAAACATAACATAGTCGTTGGATTACCTTAGGAATTGCTAAAAAATTACATGTACAAGTTAGCATCTAATTCAATAATATCAGTTACCCCGGTTATCGTGTGCTAAATGTTAGCACCTAAACTTCGCTTATATCATCTAAACGAGTTATGCAACAGGTGTTAGCAACTAAAGTTCTTCTATATCTACTAACCTTCAGCGTCGCAAAATTAGCAACTACTTTTGTCGGGTTCCACCATGTCTATCTACCTTCAACATATCAGTTATCAGTAAATTCACTTCACAATTTAATCCGGGATAGTTGTTACATGTAATATCTATACATACCTTCTCCTCTTCGTCGAGCACCCTCGCTTTGTTAAGTTGTAGCTGAACTTTCTGGGGACGACCACGAGATGCAACCCGTGAAGGACTACTTACCTCATCATCAGAAGATTCATCATCGTCTTGAATGGACGGAACTGCTTCTAAAACCACCATTTGTAAAGCTGGAAATAGTCCCCCCACAGTAATTGTCGCAGTCAGAATCTGAGATAAATTCCTACCTTTTATAGAATTCATCATCACATCGAATGATAACCTTCCCCATGGGTATTGAAGAAATGCATCTAGGTCTTCAACCATCTCGGCATGATCCATGCTCACCTTAGAACGACTAAAATGAACTGAAGGGACGAGAAATGCATCCACTATTGCAAGGCACGCGTAACACAGCCTCAGCTGGGAATCCAGAGCAGTTTTTTTCTGCACAATCTCGATGGGCCGTTCAACAGGGACTTCCTTCTCGTCGCCAAATAGTGTCTTGAAAAACTCTGGTACAACATGAGGTCTTCTTTTTTTCTTCTGTGTCGACGGATATTTCCCACAATTCAATCCGGATACAATCTTGAACTCTCTAATTGAAAATCTTATTGGTTTTCCTGCAAACACCAACCAAATCTCGTTCTCCTTCTTAACGTCTAACAATCTGGTTAAAGCAAACAGTCTAAATGCGCCGGACCACGCCGGCTGATGTGCGAAGTCGAACAGTTTTCCGAACTGAGATGTTTTCAAGAATTCTCTCTCAGACTGGTTCAAAGCGGCATCTATGTCGCTGATGATGGTCATCTTCTGGTAAATGTTGACACGATCTTCCATGGGCACTTGTTCAGGACTAAAAATCCTTTGAGGAAGATCAGAATCGGCAACCTACAACAAGGATTTCAAGTTAATGATTACTGAACAAAAACCACCGCACCACTAAAACTATCGTAGTTATCGAAAATCGCAGATAATCAAACACCTCTGATGTTGAATCCACAACATGCAATTAGAACTCGAAATCTTTAAAACCCAAAAATTACCTGGTCGGACATTGAATCGAACAAGACGTCGTCGCCGTTGCTATGATCTGTACTGTCCATTGCCGCAATTAGAAACTGTAACTCCTTGATTTTAAGAGGAATCGCTGCTTGGGGTTATTTTTCAGATATTGAAGCCCTAACTGAACTCAAACCTTTCGTTTTCCCACACACCGGATAAAGCCAACTTTTTCCTCTTTTTATTTTTTTTTAGAAACTTCCCACTACTTTCAACGACGAAAACACAACCAGCAACCCTGATAATGACAGAAGATAGGGCCCCACACAGATATAAATTCTTAGGAAAACGTGTTTTAGCTTCTGTTTTTAGACCTAGGATTTGACACAGATATAAGGGTAATGTGAGATTTTTTTTCTAAACAATAGCTTACGCACAGTGTAAACCCTGACGACCTAATTATAGTTTATCTATTAGTAGATATATCTTCATATAACTCTTTAAGTATATTGAATGGAGTGGAATTTTGCCCCATTATTTTTGAAATTCATGTTAGTTTTTTTATAATTTGCTATTTTATTTAACACATTATTTACTAAAATCATACATTTTTTGACATACAAAAAATCACATGTTACTCTCTGACACAATTCATACATGATCTACGCTATTTATTATAATCATCGGCGAAAACACTTCTCTTAACTACATTACTGTTATTGGTGCTCAGTGCTCTTAAAATTTTGAAAAAAAAATTGATCAAGAAAGTCAACCAAAGGCTAGATACAAAATGCAGACGTCCTTACCTGACTTTAAGAGGCTCGGCCCGCCATGTTTAGATGCACAAAACACACAATTTTGAGCTCATATGATACATTTCAGTAAAAATGCCAAACAATTCCAAAATAACCATTTTCAGTCAAAATAATCACCAACTATTCGATTAACAAAACAAACTTTCAATTCTAATCTAAAAATTTCTACATTTTATTGACCAAACTATTTTAATCTTAACATTAACTGTTGACTAATATTTGGATTAAAATGACTAGAACAATAAAAGTTGAGAATTTTTTTGATAAATATTTTTTTGTAAAAAAAATTATTATTTTAGAAAATTTTAATAAATTATTCAAAATGATATGTCAAAACTAAAAAAATACATGATTCGATTTCTTAGAAACTTACATATCCCTAATGATTTTCAGCCAAAATCTATTTTAAATGATTTTCTTAAATTAAAAAAAAATCTAAATTTTCTAAATTTAAAAATAAAATAAAATATGGTGAAAGATAAATTAGTATAATTAATCCATATAAGTCAGACATATTCGGTAGGGATGACTCCACAGAAATATCATTTTACCGATCAAAACTTGATTTAATCAGATGAGTTGTCGACAACAACAAAAAAAAATAGTGATTTTGTTTTTCATATTTGTGTTTTTTTTTTCAAAACTAACTATTTTTTAGTTATGGATATTTTATTATCCAGCAAAGTTTCCATTACTTTAATCAAAAATTTTGCAAAAATATAGTTTGGTAGAAAAATATCAATTTTTTATTCCAAAAAAAATATCCAATTTTTTGTTTACGAAATAATTTTAAACTTTTTACTCACCTAAAAAAGCTTCTACTTTTAATTTATCAAGCCTGTAGTCATGATATTAGTCCACAGTTATAGCTGACTAAAGTTAGGTCTAAAATGATTTCGTCAAAACAAAGTTGAGATTAAACAAATCAGTAAAAGAAAGTTAAAGATTTGTTTTGTCCATCTAATAGTTGGTGTTTTGTTTGGCTGAAAATTGTAATTTCAGAATTTTTTTGGATTTTTTCCTATTTCACTAAAAAGTTACAGGAAAGTTCACACCTCAACTGCATTAAAAATGAAAGTAACCACTACACCACCACTAATCTTTTAAGTATGATGCAATTTAAACATTTTAATATGTTGTGGTGCCTAAAGCAAGAGTTTTGCCCACTTTAACCCAGAGCCGGCCTCTTAGTAAGAACAATGGTTTGAGCTATAGATTTAGCGTTGTACACTTACAACTAAAAAATACAACTTCCAAAGGGAGACACCAATATGATAATGTTGTTGAGACACGATAGGCCCTTCAAAATTTTCAAGAAAAACCTCTATGCTTTTTTGTTTTTGTTTTTGTCTTACAATTGTCTTCTCAACATGCAAGTCCAGAAAGCTCAACATGGTCGAGTGCAATTTGTTTGGCCTAAGTTAAATATGTGAGCATCTGATGGTATCAAGCTAAGAATAGTCTTAGGTATTGTGTAAAATTCAATCAAAAAAAGTGAAACTTTTTGATAAGACTTCTAATATTATAAAAACTCGGTTCGCAGAAGTTTTTGAGATACAAGTAATATATACCTATATTTTACATGGCTATTGTTGACGTATTTTTCTTCTACTTGGAGGCATGTCTCCTACACAATCAACAGTGAATGTTAGAGCTTAGAAATACTATGGTGGAGAACCAAGAAAGAGGTTGTGATGTGTCAAGAACAAGAACGAGAGTCGGAAAACAGAATATATGAATAAAGAATCGGTGACTGCAAGTTCTTAGGAATGGTGGATCCGAGAAGTATCTACTTTTTTAGTGGAATTTTGGTGAATTCCAAACAATGAATATTGATGAATCAAAGGCTAATTTATTGAAAGGAGTATTTGCGTTTTTGTGAGTTATTCTGCTAAGAGAGTTTTTGGATGGACAATCAACTCCTTCCAGGGAGAGAATGGCATTATTTTTCCAGTTTACCTTCCCTTTGAACAGAGCGCCCATACTTATCTTCCCTGTGAACATGAATTTGTCACTTTCACATGTCGCATGTAGGAATCATGTTCTTGTACCAAGAGTCAACTTATTTTGATGTTTATGGAGTGAAACTAAATATAATACCGCACAGATTGAATTATCCTTTTACCTTTCCCGAGACCGAGATTTTAGTTGTTTCAATACGAATAAATCTAACTAAAATCAAACTAAAACAAAATCAAGAGGGACTTGTTGTTCAATGTCACAAAATTAGCAAGCAATGATAACAATTAAAGACGAAGATGTAAATAATTAAACAAAACATTTGGTCTAAGGAAATTCACAGGGATTCATGGATTGCTTTAACAGGTTTAAACAATGATAAAAGCTATCAATTAATGCAGATCTAGAACTCAAACATGGAAACGCATTAATTGTATCAACTTTTGAACGAGCTAATACCTAAATCAAAATAATTTAACTATTCAGCATTTGTTGGTAATTACACAGTCACATCAGCAATAAATCAAATTCGTAATACGCTCACAATGTCCTCTAAGTATGTTTTGTATTTTACAACACAATTGTGCCCCTGCTCTAGTTCTGGTCAATAAATTCAGCACGTATTTTCCTCAAATCCGCTTATATGTAGCCAACAAAGAATCATGCAATAAGAACAAATAGAATGAAAAACTCCTAAAAGTATTAAACCTTTTATTCCATCAATAATCCATCAAATTAAACCATGAAATCCCTTTGAAAACCCTTTAAACCCAACTAAAGAAATACTCAGACATAATTCTAAAATTCATTATCAAGACAAACAAGAATTGCAGAAACAAAAGACAAAGAATATAGAAGATTAAAAACGGCCGCTCCAATAGTCGATGGTGATGATGAGATGTCGCAAACTGATTCTGGTGTGTATGAAGTGGTTGGAGAGTTGTCACACCAGAAGACTTAAGACCTGTTTTGATGTGGTATCTTCATCGTATTGAGGCGCATATGATTTCTTTTCATGCATCAAAGTGATGGGTTTGAAGTGGACTTGCAACTTAATTGATCTGTGTTGAACTGAAACTGAACGCTGGTAGAACATTCAGGTTACGGTCCAAGTGTCTTTGTCCGCATTCACGACACTTCAGGTTGTGGCCATGAGCTTTTCTGCTTCTTGGTTTCTGCACTTGACAGCTTTGTGGGGCTTCAGTAACCTTCATGTAGTTTAAGATCGAACCATGGGATCATCCTCCAACCAATTGCATATGAAAGACTGTTGATCCTTCTATCTTGTGTCCAAAACTGAGCTTGAACAGATGATAACAACGGATTTTGATCACTTTTATGAATCATATTAATGTCTTATGCAGGTGTTTTAACTCTGTTTTTCAATGGGTTTTAAAGTATTTTCAATGTTTTAGAATTTCAAAATACTTTTCAGAAAACTTAGACTAAAGTTGTGTAATTTGGAATAAACAAACAATTTTGGATAAACGCAGACCGTCAAAAGTATGGCAAGCGCTGAAAATTTTCTCACCGTCTGATCACCCCCAAAATTTGAGACGACATAGAATAGACAACCAGATTTCTAATGCAATTGGTTTGAAGACAATCCAACGGTTGGATCTTCAGATATTCTTGATACACTAAAGACAGAAAATACAGTCTCGAAGGAGAGCATAGGCCGTGACCGCGGCCAGACTATGATTCCCCATGGATACAAGCACCGCGACCGCGGCCAGACAACATTGACATCCCGAGACGACCTAATTCAGGCCCAATTCGATTTCTTTCATTATTTTTGAAGCCTTAAGTGTCAAAGGCAACTCCATAAGCTATAAATACCTCCCTTAGGTCATTTCTAAAGAGTGAGACAGAGAGATTTGTGTGTGTGCCTAATTTTTACAAAAATCCTAGAGAGAGGAGCTATCTTCGAAGATGATCCGTCGAGGAGAGCATCATCATGCCTCCATCTGCGCCTCTGTTCTTCGTTTCTCTTGTTTGTTCTTTTTAATTTTCAGCAACTTTAGATACTCTATGATGTTTTGTTACAATATGTTTGAGTAGTTTCCCAGTTGGGGTTAATGAGATTTTTCAAAAAGAATTTCATGTGTCTTCTTCTATGAACTGTTAGATTTAGGATTTATAATCTTCTAGGTTTCGTTTATCTTTATTCTTATTGTGTGATTCTTTGAGTAGTTTCCCAGTTGGGTTTAATGGGATTTTTCAAAGAGAATTTCATGTGTCTTATTCTATGAATTGTTAGATTTAGGATTTACAATCTTCTAGGTGTTCTTCGTTTACCTTTATTCTTATTCCGTGATTTTTTGTTGGCC